TGAAAAATACTGATCACTGGCATGAAAATCACCCCATGTACTGTGAGGTTTAGTGCATTATGCAGAAAAGTAGAAAAAATAATCCACCAGTTCCTATCACATACATCCAACAAAAAGGACGGGTAATATACTTGGTTACTTTACAAAATAAAGCTTCCATTGAGAATTTTAAATACTTAAACAATTGCAGCACTTATTGCAGCCTTATTATAAGGCTATTTTGATTTAAATAATTTCAATATTTTCCATCAGAAATGTAGGATGCTAGTACAGTATATATAAAGAAATTGTGCTACATTTGTAAATAAATTCCCATGATTATTATATAATAATAATAATAATTAATATTATTATTATTATTACGTAAATGTTAAAACGTTTCACAGTTAAAACCTTACACCATGCTTACTTTAATTTTAAATAGGATGTTTTGGTCAAACTGACCATAGACACATTAATTGGCCCAAGCATACTATTTAAAGTGAAAGTAAACATGGAGTCAGGCTTTAAAGTTCACCTGTGCTCAGTCTTGAGTATTTACATATTTGAGTATTTACATTTGAGTATTTAAATACTCACAAGCAGTAAAAGAAGTAAAAGAGCTTTAAAATTCCCTTGACCCCCACGATATCTGCACTTTGAAGTAGGAATAATTTAATATTAAAGCACTTACCAAAAACTTTGTTTTTTAATGTTTACCTTTTTTGTGAATGAGTAGAAGTACTATGTAAAGCCCCTCACCCACAGACCCCCCCCCCCAACCACCCAGCCAGGGTTGTGCAGAAGAGGAGAGGCACTTGTCTTCATCAACATGGGGGCAATGTGCTTTGCCAGGGGACGCCTCCCTTTGTTAAGGTCATGTGGTCTGGTAGGGTGCACAATTGTCCCACACCACACACACACACACCCTACCTGGCCAGTCAAGCTGCATGCTCAGATTTAGGATCTGGTATGAATTTTAAGGGTGGTCTTATGCTTATTTCTTTGCATAGAAACCCACTTAAAATTCTATAGCAGGATTTTTAATTGGACAGATCTGGCTCCCATTGATTTCAAAGAGGGTTAGCATTCATCATCTAAACTTCTGAAGTTTGTTGAATCCTGGGGTAATACAGCATCAAAGATCAGAACAGAGACTCTAAAGTTTTGTTTTAGCTGTATTCTAAAGAAGGACATGATTTTTGTACAATCTTACATTTTACCAAAACTATGGAACATGAAGACAAGCCGAAACAATGCTTTCAGTGTGTTACCACTTAGGTAGGCCCTTCCACTAAATAGTTGTTTTTGGATCTACAGAAGATTGTACAATTAGATTGTATAGAGTATGGCCAGCTTACAAGCACATGCACATCACATCTACAGAGGCAATTAAAGGCTTTTTAAGGCTCTTTTACTACTTATTAAGAATATATAAATGATTTCAATTCCATAGCCTGGTCACAGGTTCACTTCATGTTGAAATGTTCATGCCAAGTACAACCTCTTTGAACTTCAGCATTTTTTTTTTTTGAAGAATGCTAAACTAAACCCCCTGGAAATATTTTGATGATCCTCTCCCACAGTAATAGGGAAATCAAAGGGGGATCCACAAATCAGTTTCTGGAGCAAAATATTCCTATATTATACTTCAGCTAGGCAAAGCAGTAAAAAACACATATCCATTGACTTTTGCAACCAAAAACACTAATCTCAAGAAGAGCAAAAAAAGAAAAAAACATATAATGCCCTTTTCTTTTTAATTTAGCAGGAACATTTTCTAACAGATCTCCAATAGTTATAAAATAAATCACCAATTCAATATTTTGTTGTGCTTGTCTGTTATACTTATAAAATTACAATAAGTAGTAGTTTATTTTTTTGCTTTTAGAAATGAAACCATATTTTTAACAATCTATTTAGCCTGTTAGAACTGCTTCTGTGTAAATCTTCTAGATTATTTCAGAGTTTCACAGTTCTTCTAAGATAGAATATCTTGTGTGGTAACAAAATCACGTAGTGCTTTTAGGCCTCATGTACACGAGCACCTCCTAAACTCAAGCATTTTATTGCCAAAGCTCCTAAACTCAACTCCATAAAAGCCTTATTATTTTACCCTTTCTAAATCATGCAGTAAGACATTCTACAGCATAACCACTCTTACTGTAAAGAACCCCTTCATCAATTAATTGCAAATGTTTTTCTCTTCCTATGTAGCAAGCAAAAAACTGTGATATACCATGTTAACCAAGCATACGTACCAGGGCAGACCGACAACTCATGGGGCCCCCGTTCAATAGGGGATCATGGGGCCCCTGTGTCCTTGCTCAAACTCAAAAAAGCCTATGAAAAAGGTACCAGGGGCATTTCATGGGGCTCCCTACTGACTCCGGGCCCTCAGGCAGTGCCCGAGTTTCCAAATGGTCAGTCCGCCCCTGATAAGTACACAGGTGGAAAGAGCTCCTTTTCTGGTATTGAGACATAAATGTATTTGCACAGATTCTAAAAAAAATTGTATAAATTGTAAACAGGATAGAAAAAGAAAACATGGAAATAGATAAATAATAAATTGACAAGGACCTCTCATTAACTCCATAGTATGAACATGTAAAAAGTCTGAATTTCATCAGATACTAATGGTAGCTACTTTATAAAAGGAGTCATAAATCCTGTGCATGTTTTCTTTTTTCTGACTAGATGGTAAGTGTGCTGGGGTGCTTTGTTTTGTACTCTTTTGTGAAAGACCTCACCCATGTATCTTTTCTTACTGTAAACTAATCTGAGTGGCTGACATTTTTGTTTAGTTTGTAACCCTAAATGTAACCCTTGCTGAAAAGTTTTAGCATGTCTTGTGGCAACAGGCTTTAAAACATGGGTGTCAGTGCATGTTGTCAATGTACCTGCTCAATGTTCATTGTTAATGGCACCCAAAGCATTATGCCCATATACCATGTGTTGTTAAATAGGAGCACGCACATTTTTTAAACTGTTGTGGTGTGTTGGCAGCCCATTTATAATGAATGAACTGCTTTAATGCAACACGTTTTAACGTGCCATAAAAGAAGTTAACTAGTGTTCATTAATACACTGCAACATACCACTTAACCACTTCAAGTCTGGACACTTTCACCTCCTTCCTGTCCAGGCCAAATTTCAGCTTTCAGTGCTATCACAATTTGAATGACAATTGCGCAGTCATGCAATACTGTACCCATATGAAATGTTTTCACATTTTTTTGAGACAGATTAAACTTTATTTTGGTGGTATTTATTCACCACTGGGATTTATATCTTTTTGCTAAATAATTGAAAAGTCCAAACATTTTGAAAAAAAGTGTTTTTCTTATAAAATTTTGCAAATAAATAATTTTTCTTCATACATCCTGGCCAAAATGTATTCATCTATCTTTTTGTAAAAAAAAAAAAAATTACCCAAATTAGTTTATAATCAAAACAATTTTTTAATAATGTTTTTTACATTTTTTTTTTGTATTATTATTATTTTTTTTTTTTTTAACATACTGTCACCCTAGCAGAACAATGTCACCACAGTGACACTGTACTACTTGTGGGGGGTGATGAAGATTTTTCTTTTGTAAAAATGTTTTTTACATTTTTATTTTTTTTTGTATTATTATTTATGTTTTTTTTTTTAACATACTGTCATCCTAGCAGTACAGTGACACCACAGTGACACTGTACTACTTGTGGGGGGTGATGAAGATTTTTTTTTTTTTTTTTTTTTACACTGATTGCTTTTGCACCCATAAAGGCTGTAAAAGCAATCATTTCTCCTTCTCTCCTTCTCAGTATTGAGAAACTGTGAGTACTGTGAGAGCTGTGATTGGTCGCAGCTTGTTAGATGGTACAAGGCTGTTGTGAATGGCCTTGTACCATGCGACCTCTGTGATCATTCACAGATTTCACTAGTAGTAAGCAATGATGTCAGAAGTGACATCTTGCTTACTACTCTTCCTGTGGTCACTGACTGGCCAATCAGTCATCACATGATTGGGACTTCACACAGAGGTCTCGTACAGTGATTGGTGGTCCCGGACACAGCGGGCACCGGATCGTGGTGCCTCGCACTCCCAGGGAGCGCGCACAAGCAGGGAAGCAGAAGGACGTTTATAAACGGCCACCTGCTCCTGCACTGCTCCCTTCCAGTCATTTATGTACATGGGCTGGATGGGAAGTGGTTAAAGTGACAATAAACTCTGGAAATAAATCTATTGATGTACATATTCTAAAATCAGCATAGTACCTTCTATTGCTCACAGCCTCTTCCCAATCTCATTGATTTTTTTGCTGTTATTATTCAACTTCCTGTTGTAGGGCAGCTATGTTCATTTTCCATGTATGACCAAAAGTAGTCACTGTCTCTTGTTCACTCCAGAGATGGGTTAGGGACTATGCACTATGGACTATGGAGTGTGTTGTGTGCATAGAGCAATGCACATGACCACAAGTAATGTGCACTTCTCACTTCACACAGCAGGAAGTGAGAGAGAAAAGGAAAGTTTCAGTAGCTCATGTGGTACATTAACCTCCTTGGCGGTATGATTATTTCCGATTTTTTATGCTGAAAGCGGTACCATTTTTTTGCATGGAAATATGTAGTTTTTTATTGTAGGATGTAATTTTTAGGAATAACTCACTGAAATCTGTACGAACAAGAGTCTAGTAAACATCCTGGGTAGGATAACATTTGAAACACGAAATCATAAATTATAATTTAATAAATAATCATAAAAAATAATAATATAATAATAATACATTTAATTCAATAATATAATCAAACCAAAAACACTGAAATTTGAAATACAGAGGCAAATTCGCACATTGCTGAGCAAAGTCGCAAAATCGTTTTCAATGTCTGATGATGAATTTCCCCACGAATCATTATCACTCAATTCTGCAAGTGGTTCTGATTTACTATCGCTGTTCTCTAGCTGGTCTAAAACCGCTTTTGACGTAAAGGAGCGCTTTTTGGACGCCATGGACTTTTCTAAGTTTCCAGGCAGAAAGAACAGTGAAAATGCAGGCAGGGCACAGGACAAAGCAGTAGGGACAAAATGTATGTGAAATGCATTGAAACAGCAATGTTTTACTATGTAATAATCATTTTAAAAAAATGACATTTTTTAAAAATTTAAAATTTGCCGCCTGTTCCGGCGCCCGTACGTCCCGACGTCACAGGGACTGGAACACGGAAGCCGGATGCCGGCATCGGCCAGAGGAGATGGCCGGGGACGCTGCAGGGGACACATCGTGGGAGTGAAGGACAAGGTAAGTGCTGCAGGGACTCCCTGAGCAACGCCGCATGGTAAGCCCGAGCGTAGCTCGGGGTTACCGCTCTTGGTACTCAAATTTTACCCCGAGCTACACTCGGGAATACCACTAAGGAGGTTAAAGGGAGGCAGAAGGAACACAGTAAGAAACTATTTCATTGATTAAAGGGCCCTTAGGCAGTGGATGCGTATGAATCATTTTTGGAGAATAAGGATATTGTTTAGTGTCACTTTAAGTTTGAATGGGCTCTCAAACCTTTTAGTAAATATAGTATATGTTCTCATATTTTCCACTCTCATTCAGAGAAAGTTTCACACAACACTGATTGTATGTGTGATCCTCTAAGCTTGTTTCTCTATTTGTATGTCATTTTATTGTCTAATTTCATTTTTTAAGCAAGTGATGTCCCTTTGTTCTTTGTACAATTTTAGAAATAAAATGTTTTTCAAATGTTGATGCTGACATTGGATATGTTAAAATGACACTGTATTCCTTATCAAAGGTTTAGTGTATTCATAACTGGTGTTTTAGTGTTTGGTAGATGCTGGAGAGAGTTAAACCATCTGACATATTTTGTTACTATCCCTAGGGGACCCAATTGACAACATCTCTGCTCTTGAGTTACTGGGTCTGCACATCTGCTGTGGCAATAATGTTGGGACTTCTTATGTATTTTATGCAAAGAAGAATGCAGAGAAGGGTGTGATGGCGCACAGCAAGATCACTGGAAAGTCTAGCCCAGTTCAGAACTATCATGCGGAGAGTATATGATGCCCTAATACTTTTAAAAGTAATTTTGGATTGAGTTCAGTGAATAATACATTGACGCATTATATATGAATATGTATCATTAGTGTGTTAATCTTGCAGAAAATGCAACACAACATTAAAATAAAATAAAACTAAAACTAAAGCTATTTTTTGTCAAATAGCAACAATGACAAAAATCTGCAACAAACCTGTTTAGGTAATTCAAGCAGACCGAAAAGGATCTAAATAACATTGCACTAAAATCATTATGGAAAGAACCAGCCCTGCAATTCTGAGTGATATATTGCAAATGTTTATATAAGAAACTGACTTTTTTCTCAGAATACTTGTAAAATAATATAAAGAAAAAGCACCTGTTTCAACATTCTCCATAAACATGGCAATCAATATGTGAGCTGTCATAATATTTTGTTTTGAATTTCCAATCCCTGGAGTTTATTAGTACAAGGCCATTCAATCTGTTTTTATGGCAGACACCACTTCTTAAAAGAGCAAAGATCACTTTTTTTTTAACCACTTGCCCTCCAGAAGATCTACCCACCTTCCTGACCTGGCCATTTTCTGTCATACAGCGCTGCGCTACTTTAACTGACAACTGTGCGGTCATGTAGCGCTGCACCCAAATTAAATATGTTCCTTTTTTTCCACAAATAGAGCTTTCTTTTGGAGATATTTGATTGCCTATGCATTTTTTATTTTTGCGCTAAAAAAAAACCCGCCAATTTTGAGAAAAAAACTATATTTTTGACGTTTTGCTATTAAACATGTCCAGTAAAAATATTTAAAAATCAAATTTCATCATAAATTTAGGCCAAAATGTCTTTGCTAAAAAGAAATCGAAATACATGTGAATTGCACGGATTATGTGAAAGTTACAGTGTTTAAAAATGGCAGTATATATACTGGAATTATTTGTTTTACTAGTAATGGCAGTGATCATCAACTTATAGCGGGCATTCTGACACTGGGGGGAACTGACTTCAAATAAAAAGCACTGATACTGTACTAATGGCTTTGGGCATGAAGGGATTAACCTCTGGGGCGATCAAAGGGTTAACTGTGTGCTGTTTCACTATGGGGGCTGTGTGTGTGTGCTTCACTGTAAGCACACCACTGTGCTATGCAGAGCTATACAAAGCAGTGTGCAGGAGCTGACAGGGGAGAGATCTGTATTATTTACATATAGGTCTTTCCCCTGTCAGAGATACTCAGCGATCACCGGGTTCTGGCGGGTAATCACCAGCTGGGACCTGGTGATTGACAGCTGAGGCTGAAATGGCGGTGTGGGTAGGGCACGCACATGTCCCCTACCTGGAACTGCAAAATCACGTATATCTACGTGATTTTGCACACCTGTGCCACCCTGTAGCAGTATTTCTGCTATAGGGCAGTGCAGAACTTATTTTTTTAGAATGTTTGGCATCATGCCTCATTGCTTACCATTTTTATATACATATATACATGTGCATCTAGTGCATCTATGACAAAGTTCCTTTCCTGGAAATCTTGCTAGTAACAGTACTTTCAGTTGCAGTACAGTGTTAAGCTTCTACCTAGCAATTAGGGATGGCGTTTGAGTTGGCAGTGACACAGGGTTCACCATAAACTATGGCTGTTCACAGTTTGCTGAGCAGGCTAACTAAATGGCCTGTTTGCCTGCCTGCTGAACCAAGAGAACTCATCCATTCTGTAGTGCTAACTAAGCCTCTGGCATCCTAAAACACCCCTTTTCCTGTTTAGCTGCGGGATGTAGATTCCCCAGTGCAGAGCTGAATGTAAACAATGTAGCCAGAAATGTTGGCTGACATCATTGACAAAATATAGAGATTCCCCAGCCAACAGCTGAATGGGGCCTGGGATGTGTGACTGTGACTGGTTACCAAGACACCAGTGACCACCAACATTTTAGCAATCATGTCTTGTGTGGGGCTTAATTGATTGCACTGATTTTGATTCAGATCTCATTAACATTTACAATTTGTGAATTTTGGGCTTATTCACTTGTTCACTGGATATGCACATTCTCCACAACTACTCACAATTAGCAGCAGCATTGTCAACATGTCATGTACCTTCCTTCTGATAAATGTTAGATTGCTTATATGATAGACCTGAAAGCAGCCCAGTGGTCAATTGAAGCCATATATACAGTAGACTATAACTATATGTGAGACAGTAGACTAAGGTTACCGGTTGCCTTGAAGAATCTCCTGGTAAGCCATTTTGTGGTAGAGTCACAAAAATGTTTGCTTAAAAACTGTATACAGTTAAACCTGATGCAATTATACTGAACACTAGTTTTTAGGTTCAAATTCTGAGTTATAATATATTAGAATAAAAATTAGTATAATTATTTAAAAACACAATTTGATCTTCAAGTAGATAAGTGAACAACGGTTGTGGGCTATCAGTAGTCCACAGGTTGTTGTCTGAATGAAACTTGCAATAATAAGATCTGTAAAAAATACTTATGTTTATACTTCCCAAAGTATTGCAGTCCTCTATGCTTCCAGTTCCTATAGATGAAAGACAAGTAACCCTAACAGAGTCATCTGAGCCAAACATGAAAAGACTCTATTTTTACTGCTACAAAAATCCAATGAATATAAATAATCTGTATTCAGTCTCAAAGGTATACTTTACATTCATTCTCCGTTCAGAAGTTTCTTTACATCTTCTGAAATAACAACTTTGCTGTCAGGAGCTACAGTACTTGAGTGTAGCTGTGAAGTCAGGAATTGTGGACATGGATGATCATTCTTTTAAATTCACAGTTGTTTTAAAAGTGTTCTTATGGTAGCAGCTGAGTGGAGACTTAATTCTCAGTTCCAGGGTTTGTATTATTTAAATTCTGCTGATATAATGATACAAGTGATTTCCTGATAGGAAAGTTTTAAAATTTAAATAGGAAAGAATGTAAAAAAACATATCTAAAACATCTTAAAATTAGCTTTGCAACACAGTTAGGTATGCCTATAAAAAATGTAAAGATATTCAGTCTACACAAAGTTTTCATCTTAAGTCTCTGTTTCAGTGGAGTATACAGTATATGGAAGCTCATGATAACACTATATATACAATACTAAGGGGATGTTTTATTTGTGTTATTTTCAGAAATGGATAATTCACAAAACAACCGAGACAGAAACCTAGGGCCCAGTGGATATTCAGGAGGCTCACTTTCAATATTCATGCCCCTGCAATAAACCAGGAATATTACACCATTGGTCAAAAATGACTGTGCACCTGTCTGTCATATTACAAAGGAAGGTGCATTTGTGGGCCATTGTTGTCTGATAGGGAGGGATGATGCCAGTACAGACAATGTTGATTTCTCTATATTTATCAAAGTCGTTTGAAAAAGATGAGGTGGACAAACTTGTCTAGGGTCCCATAATGCTTTTAGCCATCTTTGGTTATTACATTTTCAATGAACATGCATAATTTTCAAATACCATTAAATTAATTTTCAAAAACAAACAATAAAAAAATAATTTGACTAGGGAGGAGCATTGGACTTAAGTTGAAAATGAGTTTGCCCATAACCCAGCCTGTTGCAGTTCAACCCATCTGAACCCCTGGCTGATGTTTGTTTACATGTTAGAACTACCATCACAAAATAACAGACCCCTGTCCAGCAGGTGTTTGTAAACAGACTGGCAGGGGATCCTGGATGACATAATTTACCAACTATGGCATCCAGCAGGGGATCTGTCATATGTGATGGGAGTAGTAACAGGTGAACATCATTGGGCTAATGGTGTTCTTGTCAGCGGGTAAGCAATTTTGGGTGGCAGGTCATCATGATTGACATGGATCTCTGCTGCCATTAAATGACAGAACCCCAGCTGGTTTATTTACAATATGAACCAGCCAGGGACTGGTAATTTTGTGGTGGCAGTACTACCACACAAAGTGACAGTCCCCCAGCAGGCTTCTGTTTGTAAACTAACCAGTCAGGGATTCTGAGTAATATCATTCATTAAATATGGTTATGACCATACATGGTCAAGGATATCACCTGGGATTCCCTACTAGGTTGCTTACATACAGAATCTGTCATTTTTGCATTGGCAGATCAACATTCTTGGGTGGTGGGTCATCAAGACTGATATGGATGTACATCACTGAATAATGTGATTGACAATGAAATTACAGGTGTACCTCGGTTTACGAATGGCTCGGCTAACGTAATTTTTGGTTTACGAATGAAATCCATTGAAAATAATGCTCGGTTTATGAATTTTTTACACATTTTTTTCACAACACGAAGTGTGTGTCGGTGCTGATTTTTAAATGCA